GCCGGCGCTGGGGCGCGCAGCACGCCGGGGCCCGCGAGCTGGCCGCGCTCTACTCCCCAGGTAGGACCGCCGGGCCCCCCTCCAGGCCTCCTCCGAGCCCCCCTCCGCGCCTGCAGTCACCAGCCCGGGCTGCAGACGGCGACCCCGGGTCCCCCAGATCGGAACCCCAGCCTCAGGCCCCGATGCAGAACTCCAGCCTCGGCTTCTAACTCGCAAATAGCGCCCCCAAGTCCCCCCAGCGCCCCTTCCAAGCCCAAACCAGAACCCCAGCCCCGGGGCTTTCTGGATGCAGAGACAGTCCCCAGATCAAGGAACTGCTATATCAGCTCCCCGGGCTACAGACAGAGATCCCAGCGCACGCCCAGATCCGGATCCTAGCCCCGGGGCACCCGCGGCTGCAGACTGCCCCCAGACTTAGGGATCCCCACCCCGGCACCCGGTCCAAGCTGGAGGCAGCTCCTCAGCTACATGCACTGTCCCCGGACCCTTAAAAGTCACACCCCATCTGAGGTTCCCCAGGTCCGAAATTCACACCTTAGGGCCCCATCTGTGCCCACAGCCATGGCCCTGGGCTGCAAACTGTGACCTCATTCCTCAAATCTGGGCACATCAGCCTCCCTGCTCTGAGAACCCCAACTCGGGACCCCTGCTACCGAAGGCCCCAGACGCCCTTCCCCCAGAGCCCCGTCCTAGTTATAGCTTCAGTGGCTACAGACCACCTTCCCCTCCCTCTCTTCCTCCTGGCTCCTCCCCCTCCGCCGTGAGGCGCACAGCCCTCATCCTGTATTCCGGAATCCCAGGTGGTGAGCGCACTGCAAATCCTCCAGTTTAAGCTCCTCCCATACAGAAGCCGCAACTCCAGCCCGTGCCCCGCCCCCACGTGCATCCATTAGGACTTGGGGGTGGAGCCCCCACATTCCCCAGAGCAGACCGCGACCTAGAGACCCCTGCCCCCGTTCTGCACTCAGGCAAAGGTCCCTGGTTTCCTCGCGCTGTGCCTACCATTTATGTTCCGGCAAGCACCAGCCCTCACCCCTCCTCTGACTCCCACGTGAGCCTCAGGAACCTCATTGCCCAGCCCCAGGAGGGCCAGATATCCCCATGGGTTAAGGAAGTGCCTTTGAGAACTCCGGAGTCAGATGACTGGGAGCTGCCACGGCCCCTCTGCCTGGATGTCGCCATCACACCAAGCTGTTGTTTGTCAGACATTCTTAACATCTTTCCTTTTGCCAAGAAGCCGCCGCGGTCCACAGCCCTTGCCTGGGGTGGGCATGGGTCCACCACCCTTTGGCTTCCTGCCCTGACCTGCCTGGGTTTGCGTACTATCTCTGCCATAACTGGCTGCGTGACCTTGGGCCATTTGCTTTTTTGCTGAGTGCTAGATCACCAGAGGCCTTTCTAGACTGCAATTCCATGCTCTGGGTATGTTTTTTTTCCAACCTGACTTGGGTACTTGGCCCATGCTGCCAGGGTTTCTTCAGCCTGTTCCCAAAACACCCAGCCTGTGGACTTAAAACCTCCTGTGCTCCCTGGGGCAGGCTGGACTTGGCATCCTGACTCAGCTTCTTAGCTGTGTGACCTGGGCCAAGCCGCTTTCCCTCTCTGAGCCTCAGTTTCCTCACCTCTAAAATGGGTACAAAGTCAAGTTTGTCTGCTCCTTAGTCCCACTGGGAAGAGAAAACAAGATCATGTACTTTGGTGCAGTGCCTGGAGTACAGTGGGTGCTCCCTACCGTTAACGCAGTAGTCTGATCTTTCCTGTGAGTCTTAGAGGAAGCTGCCTCACCTCTCTGGTCCTCGGACTCATCACCTGGGGATTGAGGGTAAGGATTCAAAGGCTTCCTCCTTTGGTGTCCAGCTCTGCGCACTCAAGTAAATCCTACCCACTTTCGACCAGATCACACCCCGCATTCTGAGCCTCCCCAAGGGACCGCCATCTCCCCACTCCACCGTGACTGCATCCTTACCCACTTCTAGTTTCCCCACATGCCCCTCGCTCTCTGAAGAACAGCCACAAGGGGATCTACAGACCCCCTTGCAGACCGCCTCCTGGTGCCCCAAACCTGCATTCAAGGCCTTGCCTCCTCCTGACCTGGAGTTGGGGGGAGTGGAGGAAGGGGAGGCTGGCCAGACTGGTTTCCCCAGATTCCCCAGGCCTCCCTCTGCTTGCCCCTGTCCCTGCCCTGGGTGGACTTGGGGAAGTCCCTAGGGGCGTAACAATGAACAAGACAGGGAAAATGGAACTGGCCTTTTAGTAAACTCAGTCAGTAAGGGAACTATCTTACTTGCCCAGTGGCAGCAGGCGCTAGGAACTGCTATACAGCAGAAAAGGGGGAAGTGAAATGCTGGGGGCAGTGACATTGTCGAGAGGGGGCAGTTAAGGGCTCACTGAGCAGCTGACATCTGAAGAGACCTGAAGGGAGGGAGGCCGAAGATGTTTGAGGAAGGATTGGTCCAGACAGGGACACAGCAAGTGCAAAGGCCCTGAGTGTTTGCGGAACGCCACGGAGGCCTGTGGGCTGGAGCGGGCTGAGCAAGGGGAGAGTAGGAGAAGTTTCTGGGTTCCGGGACTGAATTCTTGAGATTCCTGGGGCCAGACTTGGGTTGGCACTGTGACGGTTGGCAGCAGTAATGGGGCAGTTAACAGAATTGACATTCGTTGAGCACTGCCTGTGCTGGGCGTTTTCCTCACACGCTCTCATTTCGTCTTCACCACATTGTCTGAGGGGCTCCCTGGTGTTAACGCCATTCTGAGACCTCATAGCGCACCCCCCACGTGTGTTCTTCCTGTCGCTGCCGGGATTAGGCTTGCTTCTGCCCCCACCAGAGGGGAAGGTCTGCAAGGCCAGGGGCTGCATCCCTGAGGTGCCTGGCACGTCACGAGCGCCCTGTCCCTCTGCCCGACGTCTCCTGAGGCTTAGCAAAGAGCAGTGACCCGCCCACAGTCATAGCTCGTGAGCAGCAGGGCCAGAACTGGAACACGGCGGGGTGTTCTAGGTTCCGTGTTCTTAGTCTTCGCCGTGGAAGTGAGCCAGCGCGGGGAGGATGTGCGGGAGGGGGACCACCGTCCCGTGTCAGCAGGGCAGCGTGCGTGCGGGGCCGGCGACTGAGACTGTGGGCCTGGGGTCTGTGGGGAGCTGTGAGTGGTCTGCTCGGGCCGGCGTGGGGTGGAGGGGACGGCCTGGGCCAATCCTGAGGGCCCCGAGTGTCTGGCCGAGGAGCTGGGGCCTGGTCCTCCAGGGCCAGGAGCCCTGGAGGGTCCCACAGCCCGCTCCACTCCAGGTTGAATTTCGCAGCAGCGGCCCGCCCTGTGCCAGGTGCCAGGGTTTGCAAAGGGCCTGGCGGGCTTGACAGGCCTTGCCTGGCCTCATGGGCAAGCCGGGAGGTGAGGCAGGTGTCCAGCTTCCCAGCAGGTGCGAGCTGAAACCTGGCTATGTGTGCGCCACTTGTCAGGTGCCCTGGGCTCCAGGGGCCATCCTGAGGGGTCACTCAGCCAGCTCTTCACCACCCCCCCCCCCGACTAACTGTGGATGTCCCTGCCCTGGGGGGACATGGGGACTCTTAGCGTGGGGTCGGGGGAAAGGTGGAGGGTGTCAGGAATGCTGGGCAGGGGTCCTGGCCTGTGGTCCAGAGCTGAGCGGAGTTCGGTCCCCAAATGGGCCTGACTGAGCCAGAGGACAGAGGCCTGGTCCCTGCCACGCTCCGGGCTGAGCTCTCGCTCTCCCTCAATCTTGTTCTTTTTCCATTTGTTTGTCTCTCCTTCTCTCTGGCCATACTCTCTCTTTTTTTCCTCTGTCTCCCTAAAATCTCTCGCTGTCTCTCTTTTTCTCTCCTCCTGTCTCTCTGTTTCTCATCTCTCTGTGTCTCTGATTCCTCTTCTCGTCTCTGTCTCTCTTCCTTTCTGGTCCCTGCCTTCTCCCTTCCTCCTGTCCCTCCACCTCCCTGAGGCCAAGGGGCTCCTGGTGGCCCAGGGCCATCAGGGTGCCAGTTATTCAGGGCTCTGACTGAAATGAGAAGAGTTGGGCCTGATGCCAAGCCTTTGGCTGCGGCCTGCCCCCAGGAAAGCAGGGATGGCCAAGGCCTGGGGCCTCCCAGCCCTCCACAACCACTACACAGGCCCAGCCCCCTCCCCAGGCCAACAAGCAGCCACTGCTGTAACTCGGCCCAGACCGTGGACCCTGGCCAGGCCAGGGGCTGGCTCGGGGAAACAAGGCCCCAGCGCTCTGCCAGAGGTGGCCTGAGCTCTCGCTGCCTGAGCAAAGCCCCTCCCCTCCCTGGGTCTCGGTCCGCCCAGCTGTAAGTGACGCCCTTTAGACCACCTGACTGTCCGGGCCCTGCCAGGCTGACTGTCCATGCTGTGACTGTGGTGACCCTCGAGTGCCTTTGGAGAAGTCACTTCATCTCCAGGCCTAGTTTCTCCCTCTGAAGGATGGAGCAGGTGGTCTCTAGCCCACAGCCTGGGCTGAGATCGTCCCAGGCTCTGTCCCTGGCAGGCAGTAGGTGCTCGGCAAAGGACACTTATTATACAGATGCATTTTTTATGGATCAAAGTTGAGGCACTTGGTCTGCAGAAGGATCCAGATTCCAGAGGCCAAAAAGAGAGTTTAGATGGGAAAATATTCAGATTTCAGGGACATCTTCCATGGCACGGGGAGAAAGCTGGGCTACCTTTGGAATCAGGACAGCCCCGAACATCCAGGCTAATGTGTCCCATTTACGAGCCCAGGATCCAGACCCAGCTCTTCATTTTTACCCCGTGAGACTCAGTTTCCTCATCTGGGAAATAGGGTCACACAATTCCTCCCTGGAGGGACTGAGACTTGCGTGAGAGACTGTGCTCGGAACCTCAGATGACTGAGAGGCCTGGCCAGGACTAAGGGAAGCCACCCAGTATGAGGCCGCAGGGATGCCAGGGGACCTGGGGGAACCGGGGGCTCTTCCCACATCTGATGGGGGTGGCCTCTGTTGCTCAGGCCTGGGGTGGCCAGAGCCCTGTGTTCTCAAGGGAAGCAGGAAACTAGGAATTTTATGTGGTTTTTTTTTAAAGTGTTGCTAATTTTTTTAAAACTAAAAGCAAGATATGCAGGAGGGAGAGGGTCTGCAGCGTCTCTGACTTGGGCCTCACCTGGCACCCCAGCCGTGCTAGGCCTCGGTGAGTGTCGGCCTTGTTATTGTTGCTGTTATCGATCGCGTTGCTGTCCCTGGAGGCTGGGGGCGGGTGGGCATTGCCCTGTTCCTTACCCTCTGCTGCCCCCTCTCCCCAGGCTCCCTGCTGATGAGCCCCGGGGCCTAGCCACAAACAGGAACCAGAAAGGGGAAGGCCCTGGTGGGCCTGATTGTGGTGACCCCAGGCGGGGGCTGCTGGGGCAGCAGGGCCATGTGGCCCAAGGGAAACAGCCCCTGACAGAGAAGCAGGAATCGAGGGGCTCTAGGCTGCTTCTGCTGCTGTGTGACCGCTGGTGGGGTCCTTGCCCTTTCTGGGCCTCAGTGTCCTCATCTGTGCAAGGGGGGCTAAGGGGACCCTGGCCGTTTCCCTTCCATCTCTGAGCCTTGATCTTTCATGGGACAAGGGGAGGGCAGCTGCCCTGGTTCTGGCTCGGGGCGCCGCGTGCTGCTGTGCGGCCTGGACAAGGCCCTTTCTCTCTCTGAGCCCATTTCCCTGTCAGGAACCGTGGGATGCCTACTGTTTCCTTCCCAAGGTGCTTTGGTGAGGCAAAGCCTGGCAGTTTTCCTTTAGGATCATAGTTGAGAATTTGCTCATTGCACAAGCATTTATTGAGCCCCAACTGTGTGCCAGGGCCCTGGTGAGCAAGCTAGACACAGTGCTGGGCCTCCCTTGTTCACATGTGGGTAGGAGAAGATGGATGTTATACAGGCAGTGACAGTCTCACATGATGGGCCCCATATTCAGAGGAGGTATCATGGATGGCTTCCTGGAGGCAGAGGTTCCAGGTTGAGATTTGCAGGAGTGTACCAGAGTCAGCCAGGCACGGAGGAGGTGAAGGGAACAGCAGGCACAAAGCACTGAAGAGAAGAGAGGACAGCTGCAGGAGGAACGCTCTTATCTGTCTGGCCCCTCTGGTTGTTAATCACTCACAGGGGCCTGCCTGGCCCTATTGTTTAAGGTGGGCCTGACCCAGAATGCCCTCAGGGCCATTAGGGTGGTGGGGAATGGAGGCAGGGACCAGGGACAGCAGGAGCAGGACAGAGTTGGGTAAGAGCAGGGTCTCAAGAGCCAGACCCTCTGGCCATAGGATCCTGGTCTGTAGCTAACTAGCTCAGTGGCCTTGGGCTATTTCCTTGGGACCACTCTGACCCTCAGATTTCTCATCTGCAAAATAGCATCACCTCTGCAGGTCCTTGCACATAGCAACTGCTCATTAGATGTGAAACACTAATCATAAGAAAAGTGTTATTATTAAGGGTCTTCCATGCCCTTGGGACCAGCTGCCTGGGAAAACAGTATTCCCAGGGGCCCTGTCACATGTTCCATGTCACCCACATGGGGTTTTTATTTCCTTTTGTTTTTTTAAATTTTAATTTACAATTTCAAGAAAAGATTTTTCATAGAGTAGTACATTCGCAAATTTTAAATTCAAAAGGGAATAAGTAAAAAGCCAGTCTTGACTGGCTTTTTTTTTTCTTTTTTACATAAATGGCTGCAGTTTGGCACTTTGCTTTTTGCACTTACCTGTATGTCCTGGGCATCCCTTCACGTCCACATAACAGCCACCCTCGCTTTTTCCTGGCTGCAAGGATGCTGTGGACCAAACTAATTTGGCTGATCCCCCAGGCAATGGACACTTCGGTTATTTCCAGTGTTTTGACACCTCAGACAAACTGCACTGAGTGAATCAGCTTATGGAAGCTCACAGGCCTATTAAAAATATGGGGCAACGTTTACAGAGGAGGTTTCACACCCACATCCTGATTTCTAGCTTCTGTTGGGAATTACAGAAGTGTGGGGCCTCACTGCGCCTCCACCGTGCGCAGTCAGACACATTCCTACCTCAGGGCCTTTGTATATGCTGTTCCTTTCTGGGTCCACACTCCCACCTGGCAGTAGTCAGCCAGTTAGTGGCCACTCCTTTAGAAAGGGCACATGCGCTGCCATGTCCCACTGTCCCCACCAAGCCCCCCTCACCCCTTTACATCACCTGCCTGGCCCCTGGAGACTTGGAGAGTTTGGACCCCTCATCTGCACTGCCTCTTGTTCCCCGTGGCGTACTCCCATACCCCTGCTCCCGACAGGCACCCTAGCAGTGGAACCAAGGCCCTGTTTCTCCTGAATTCCTGACATGTTGCCTGGAGCCCTGCTTGATGGAGGTGGGGCAGGGTCTGAACCTCCGGGATTAAAAGCTGTTTATAGGGCCGGCCTGTGGCTTAGCGGTTAAGTGCGCGCGCTCCGCTGCTGGCGGCCCGGGTTCAGATCCCAGGCGCGCACTGACGCACCGCTTCTCTGGCCACACTGAGGCTGAGTCCCACATACAGAAACTAGGAAAATGTGCAGCTATGACATACAACTATCTACTGGGGCTTTGGGGGGAAAAAAAATAAATAATAAATAAATAAATAAATAAAAGCTGTTTATAGCTTCTTTCTCCAATGATGACCTGCAGGAGGGAGGGGCAGGTGATACCATGCTGCCGGTTCAAAAGAGCAGCGCGTGGGAGTTCCCTCAGGTGTCTCCAGAGAGAGCCCACAGGGCCCGGGAGACCAGCGTTCTAGTCCTATCTGCTGAAGAACTGGCGTGGGCTCCTGGGCCTGTGCCCTGTGTGCAGGGGCCTGCGTCCAGAAGGGCCCCGTGCGTGGTTTGATGCAGCCAGCCCCGAGCGTACGACCTCGGCAGGCCCTTCTCCGTCTCTGGGTCTCAGTCATATGTCTGTGAAGTGGGTAGGTTGGGGCCTGTCCTTCGTGGCAGTCCCTGAGTTTGGCCTGCGGTTAGGCCGCAGACTCGGGGACCCGCTGTGGAGCCCCGCTGCGCCTGGCTGTGGTCCCCCCGCGGGGCCTCCGCCGCCCGCCCCGCGCTCACCTCTTGCCTCGTCTCCCTGCAGGCAAGCGCTTCCAGGAGTGGTGCTGTGTGGTCTTGTGCTTTGGCCTCATCGCCCACAACTTGGTCCACCTCCTGCTGCTGGCCCGCTGGGAGCACACGCCCCTCGTCGTGCTGGGTGTCGGTAAGTGCCCACGGCCCCGCTGCCTGCCTCAGTTTCCCCAGGGGCCAGGGCCCTGCCTGGTGTCTGTGCCACTCTGATGGCAGCTGGCACGCGTGTGTCACTGTGTGTGGATGTGCATGCTCGTGTGTGTGCGTGCAAATGGAGTACATGCTGTGGGACCCCGCCTCCCATCTCCATCAGTGGCATTTGTGTCCTTCCTGTCATGGGGGCCAGAAGCCTGGGTGCCAGCCTCTGCTCCTCTCTCTCTCTCTCCCACATTCCACATCTAAACCATCAGCAGATGCTTCTGGCACTGCTTCCAGAATGCATCCAGAACCAGCCATCTCTCTACCGCCACTGTCCCCACCCTGGTCCAGCCTCTCTTCTCCTGCCTGGACTATGGTGGGAGCCTCCCCCCTGGTCTCCCTGCCTCCACCTTTGCCCCCCCGCCCATTCCCCACAGGCAGCCAGAGAGATCCTGTTAGATCCCCAGTGAGGTCACACCACTCCCCTGTTCTCCCCTGTAAACGTAGAATAAAACACCAACTCCTCAGCGTGGCCTGGCCCCGGCTCCTCCGCACACCCCAACTCCCTCCACTCTGCTCTGGCTCACTCTGCTCCTGCCACACCGGCCTTCTCACCATGCCTCCACTGTGCGCTGTCGGACACACTCCACCTCAGGGCCTTTGCATATGCTGTTCCTGTGCCTGGAACTCTCTTCCTGCAGACACCTATATGGTTTACTCTCTCATCCAGGTCTCTACCCAGAGATCACCTCCTCAGGGAGGCTCTCCCTGATTATCCCTGGAAAATAGCCGCCCCATCATATGCCACCCCCTCACCTTACTCAGTTCAACATTATATTTCTTTCTTTGTCTATTATCTGTCTCCCTCCACTCTAATGTCAGCTCCCTGAGATTAGACATTTGTGTCTGTTCACTGCTGTATCCCCAGCCCCCACACCAGGCCTGGCACACAATAGGTGCTCGGTCAGTATTTACAAACTCAGTGAATGAATGAATGAGCAAGCTGCAACTTCCTGGTCCCCGCTGAGCATTCCCATCGGCCAGTCCTCACCCATCCACAGCCTGGAAGGTAGATGCTATAGTTGTGATCATTTTCCAGATGAGAAACAGGCTCAGAGAAGGGACCATCCAGAGTCACACCTCAAGCCAGAGGCACAACATAGTTCTCAATTCGCCATCTCCGCTCCCAGGTCCTGGGTGACTCAGTTTCCTTCCTCTCCACACACCGCCCCGCCCCTCTTCCCTCCAGGTCACGTGCTCATCCCCTCCCCGGTCCTGGGCCCCCAGGCGGAGGGGCAGCTGTGTCCTTGGTCCGCCTGGCCCTCCCTAAGTGTTCAGCTCCCACAATCTCATTAAAAGCATTCTGGCCGCCTAAGCCAATAGTGCTCAGGCCGGCTAATGGAGCCATCTGGGTCTGGGGTGGGGGTGGGCATGTGCTGGGGGCTGGGCCAGCTAAGGGGAGGGCGGTTAACTCATCCAGTGCCGGGGAGCCTGGGGCCCGCCTGCAGGAGCCAGATGTACCCGCTCTGCCCGGGGGGTGAGAGGGACTCTCACTTCCAGCCTCTCTGCCCAGGAGCGTCACATTGAAGGGCAGTGGCATGGACAGAGTGAACCTGAAGCCCATCTGGGCATGGTCACAAGCAGGCCCCTGCAGACCTGGGTTCAGGCCCCAGCTCCACCACCTCCTGGCTGGGTGGCCTTGGGCAAGTGTCACTGCATCTCTGAGCCTCGTTTTCCACATCTGTAGAGTGCGGCTGCTGTGAAGGCAAAATGCAGGTGTGCGTAACTGCCGGGAGGGCCAGTGACTGCGTAGAGGTGGGGGGACACCACCGAGCATGCCAGTCACCAGGCTCGGACCTTCCGTCTCAGTGGTCAGTTTAACAGTGGATATTTCTGGAGCTCCTGCCACACCAGGCCCCCGGCTGGGCACTTTTAACCCTTGGTGGCAACCTAGTGAGGAGGTTCTGGTCACCATCCTCTGAGAGGCCAGATGGCCTACCCATTGGCCCTTACCCAGGCAGCTGCAGAGTCTAGGATCACGTTTCCAGACTCCCAGCTCCCAAACCACTGACCGCCCCACCCCGGCCAGCGGCTGTACAGCCACCAGTTAGCACTGGGAGAAAAAAAAAGTTTCCAGGCAGTGCGCCCAGTTTGGGCAAAGGATCAGCAGCTTCAGAGCCCAGGTGTGTGTTGTCTAGCCCAGGAGAGTAGGCCTCCAAGGCAGGGCACCATGTCCCTTCCATGGTTGGGACCAGAGCTCCCAGCCCTGGGCCCAGGAGATCTCTGCCTATCCAGCCACCGCATGTGACGCCCGCTCCGCAGTCCTGTCCCACACTGGTGCCTCTGGGCCGATAAGAGCAGACAATCCCCTGATAGTGGTGTTTGCACAGTCCCTGATCAATTTAAGTAGCCGCCCTGATTTGTGTGTTAACATGCGGGAAGTAAGGCACCGTGCCAGCCTGCAGAGCCCGCCCCAAGCCCGGCACTATCTCCCCAGAGGTTCCAGTGCCCCTGGCAGGCCCTAGAAACCAGAAGAGGCAGAAGCATGAGAATGCCCCATTAATAAATGCAGACGCAATGCTGGGAAACAAATCAAAATAAGGGACTAGCATGGAAGAGGTGAGAGGTCAGGGAAGACCTCTGGAAAAGCAACATTTACATAGTGACCTGAAAGAGGTGAGGGAGGGGCCCAGGCAGATATCTCGGGGAGGGCCATTCCAGAGGGAACAGCAAGTGCAAAGGCCCTGAGGCTGGTGTGTGCCCCAGGCGTGGGGAATAGAGAGGAGGCCAGTATGGCTGGAGAAAATTGATCAAAGGAAAGTAGTTGGTGGCGGCTCAGAGCGGCAGTGGGGGCAGATCTCGTAGGGCCTTGCAGACCATGGCCTGGACTTGGGGTCTTGTTCCATAGGCCGTGAAAAGCCATTGGTGAGTTTCCCACAGGGAGCTGACATCATCTGGTGCTGCAGGGAGGATGGATGGGGGCAGAAAGGTCCAGAGAAGAGGGGAAGATGGTGGCCCAGGCCTGGGTGGGGCGGTGGAGGTGGTGAAAAGTCTTCCAGTCCGGGGTGAGCTCTGAAAGGTGAGCCGCGGAGTGCTGCCAGGCTGGCCGTGGAGGTGAGGGGGGGAGTCGGCGGCAACTCAGGCTTTGGTCTGAGTGATGGAAGGGGTGAGGCTGCCGTTAGCAGAGACAGGAAGAGGCTTGAGGAGCTGGAGGGGAGATGCTGGAAATCCGGGCCTGAGAGCCAAGGGAGGCGTTGAGCGGGAGATTGGAAATGCGAGTCTGGGGTCAGGGGAGGCAGCCGGGGATGGAAATCTGGGGTCCTTGGTGTAGAGACAGTGTTGGACGCTCAGGTGCTGGGGGAGCACCCGCAGGGGCTGCCTGTGAGCAGAGAAGAGGCCCGAGGCCTCCCGTGCTTCAGTGTCGGGGAGGGGAAGGAGAGCCAGCCAGGGAACCAGAGGGGATGCAGAGGCCAGGAGGAGTATGTGTTTCCAGAAGACTTAGCGGTCAACTAGGAGCAGCCACTGAGCAGACCAGCAAGATGGGACAGCGAGGGGACCACCAGACTTGGCCACGTGGAGGTCATTAGCGACCTTGACAGGGACAGTGTTGTCGTGAATGAGTGAGTAAACGGATGAATGGCCCTGGAGCCCCGAGCTCTTCGCTGCGCTTGGGGAAAGTGGAGGAAAAGTGGGGCCTGCGAGTTGGTCCTGGAAGGAGTGAGTAGGAATTTTCTGGCAGACAGGCGGAGGGGAGGGTGTTCGGGCAGCGGGCAGGGAGGTCGGCAGTCACAGGCCTCAGGTCACAGCCCGCTGGTGGGTCAGGTGAGGAGTCTCCGTGTGAGTCTGGGCTGAAAGGTGCTAGAGCCGGGATTTGGCCCCAGGACCACAGGGACCAGCCCTCAGCAGTGTCCGCTTCTGTCTCGGCCACTCTGTCTGTCTCCACACCAGGCCTGGAGTGGCCAGGGGCCAGGAAGCCCCAGCCAGGTGAGCTGTGGGGAAGTGGAAGCCCCGGGGGCCCAGAGACTGTCTCAGGGTCACCGCGTGAGTCAGGCAGCCTGGAGTGAGGTATCCCCCATCCCCGGGCACCGTGTCCGCAGACGGGTGGTAACCAGGCCGAAGCCGCCCCCAGGGTGAGCCAGCCGCAGCGGCCTGGACAAAGAAGCTTCTGTGTGCCGCTCTGCCAGCCCTGCCCCCGTTAAAGCAGCCCCAGGCAGCGAGCTTGAGTCCTGGAGTCGCCGCTCTAGAAACAGCCACCCGCAGGGGCTGGGGGATCAGAGCCGGTTCCTCCCTGAGGGAGGGGGAGGGCTCCTTCTTGCCGAAAATAATTCCTGACATCTGTCCAACGCTCACTGCCCTCGCTGCCCGGCAGCCTGAAAAGGCCGAGTGCTGGTCATTTGATGGATGGCAAGACAGGCTCGGAGGGAGGAGTAGTATTTAAAGGACTAACTATAGTGCCATCCGGAGAGCGCTTACGTGCCCCAGGACCGTGCTGAGCCCTTTACCCGCGTTAGCCCATGTTATTAGCGGACAGTGGTTGACTGAAGGAAGTACCGGTTCCCAGAGCTGGGCAGGAAGGCTCAGCGTCCCTGTGAGGGGCCCGCGCCATGGTCCCTGGCCGCTCGCCAGCAGCCCTGACCACCCAGCCGCCGCCCGCCCCTGGGCAGCCCTTACCCTCCCAGTGGCGTTTCCTCTCCGGAAAGTCGGGATGTGGTGGGGCCCATCACAATGGACGTGAAGGTTCAGAGATAATACAGTTGTTTAAAAATAGAATTTATTTTTTAGAACAGTTTAAGGTTTACAGAAAATGAGCAGGTAGTACAGAGAGTTCCCATATACCCCCTGCCCCTGATTTCCCCTGTTAACATCGTGCGTCTGTGACAATTAATGTGCCAATGTGGCTATGTTATTCTGAGCTAAAGTCCATAGTTTATTCAGATTTCCTTAGTTTTTACCTAATGTCCTTTTTCCGTTCTGGGATCTCATCCAGGATTCCACGTCACGTTGAGTTGTCCTGTCCCTTTAGGCTCCTCTTGGCTGTGACGGCTTTGAGGAGGACTGGTGTTTGGGGATGCCCCCTGCTGGCATTGTCTGGCGTCTTTCTTAGACGGGTTACGTGTTTGGGGAGGAAGAGCTCAGAGGTCAAGTGCCGCATCCGTCGCGTCACAGCGCGGGTACAGACCACCCACAGGACTTGTTGCTGTGATGCCGACCGTGACCCCTGGCCCAGGAGTGTCCATCAGGTTCCTCCACGGTAAAGTTACCGTTCCCCCTTCCATGCTGCGTTCTCTTTGGCAGAAAGTCATTGTGCACAGCCCATATGTAAGGTGTCCAGGGCGTTATGCTCCCCAATAATGCACTTTCTAACACCTTTGACGTAGTGCCCGGCCCACAGGAAACACTCCAGTGTTAACCTTGATCACATACGTTGTTTTCTAACATTGTTCTTATTATCATTGTTCTTGTCATCTGTAAGGATTAAATGCTTAGCACGATTAAGGAGATAAGATGTGTAACCGGCTTAGGACTGGCCTTGGTACAGTTAGGGATTAAAAGAGATAAAACATTTAAGGTGCTGGCACAGGGCCTGGTACTAAGTGTTCGATAAATGTCAAGTGAAAAATAGATAAATCAATAGCTGAAGTCTGTGCCCAAGGGCAGTGAGGGCATATGTCTGCACACAGGCTTGTACGTGAATGTTCACAGCAGCTCGAATCCCAGCCTGGACAGAACCCAGATGTCCGACAGGCAAATTGGTAAATGCACCATGGTACATCCAGGCAATGGAATACTACTCAGCAATAAAAAGGATGCATTCCTGATAACTCAGCTACATGGATGACTCTAGAAGCATCATGCTAGTAAAGGAAGCTAGATTCAAAAGAGCACGTACCATATGAATCCATTTATATGAAGTTCTAGAATAGGCAAAACCAGTCTGTGATGGGAAGCAGATCGGTGGTTGCATGGAACAGGGGTGGGAGGGAAATTAGGGGGCACGAGGTTGCCCGCTGGGGGGCTGCCTTCTCATGAGTGCAGCATTTAGAGGCGTCATGAGTTAGAGCTATCAGGACAGGGCCTCAAGAGGCACCCCAGCTGACCCCTCACTATGCAAGTGAAGATGCTGAGGCCCAGAGCGGTCAAGGGGCTTGCCCAGGGTCACACAGCAGTATGGTAGCAAGAGATGAGGCCCCCGATCCTTGGTCTAGCTCTACCTTAGCTCTTGGCCACATGGCCTCTTGTCCCTCCAGGCAGACACGAGGCGGTGTGTACACAGCATCCTGTCGTATGCAGCAGGAGCTCTGCCAATGCCCCTGGACCTACTGAGGTGTGATTTAGGGCGTGAAAGGGTGCTGGTGTGGGAGGCAGGTTGACCCGCCGCTTCCACACCAGGGGCTTGGGGAGCAGATGTTCAGCTTCTCTGAGCCTCTGTCCTCATCCGAGAAGTGGGGATCCCTGGTGAGGCCATCTCAGGTGGTGACAAGTGCCATGGTGGACAAAAGCAGGGACATGTGACCAAGAGCACCTGCCTGGGAGGATGGCTCTCACCAGGGGGTTGGGTGGCGTTTGCCCTGAGCTAGAAGGCTGAGGAGGAGCTGGCCACGCGGGGTCTTCAGGGACGGGTGGGGCCATAGAGGAACGGTAAGTGCAAAAGCCCGTGGCTTCCGTGTCCCTAGCCTCCCCCGTCCCTCAGCCCCAGCCTACCCTCCCAGCACTGTCACCGAGGAGCAGGGCTGCCCAGCCCTGGGGGGGGCCTGAAGAGCCCTGACTGCTCCCCAACCCAGCCACCAGTGTGTTGTCACCCTAAGGCCTGTCCTTTGCCTTCCACATGCATGTCCCCGCCTGCCAGCCCACCCCTGTCACCAGGAGCTTGTGGGCGCCTGCATGTTGCCGTGCCCGCCGTCCCTCCCATGTTTGCATCCGTGCGGTGGAACGTCCAGGGCCTTTGGAGTCTCTGTTCACGGCGGCGCCTCACTCGGGCCCCGGCGTCAGACCTGCACACGCGCACAACCCACACGCTCCTCCCGCCCCTCGCTTCTGAGCCCCTCTCCAAGAGGCGTCCGGGGCCTTTTCTGCAGCCTCCACAGTGCCCCAAGGCCCTGATCCCCGTCACCCTGTCACCAGGAGCTGAGGGCCCTAGCGGAACTCAGAGAACCTTTAAATGGCCCTGCTGGGCCTTGCACAACAAGTTCACACTGAGAAACTGAGTCTGGGTGGGGGTGGGGAGGCTCGGCTTGAAGTCACGTGACCTGCTGGGCTGCACTTATCACTCAGAACCGCGTTCGTGCTCCACCGTGTTTCACAGCACAGCCCCCCATGTCTTTGCCCAGGAGATCATGAGCTCAACATCCGATGTGTCTCTGGCTCTAGAGCTTGGCACACAGTAGGTCCTCACAGAATGTTGCTTGATAGACTAAATGACTGAGTAACAACAACAGTAATATGTAGTAGGTGCTTAGCACTGTACTTAGTGCTGTACATTGGTTAATTCATCAGATGTTTACTGAACCCCTAGTAAGTGCCAGGAACGGGATTCCGCCATACACAGAAGACTGAACTCCCTGCCTTTGTAGGGCTGACATTCTCGTGGGGGAGACGATGAACAAACAGGAAGTACAGGGTGACAGGTGCTTGGAGGAAAGGAAAGACGGGAGGGGACGGGCTGGAAGATGGGATTGGCTAAGTTTTAGATCAGGTGTCCCCAGAGGACTTTGAGCAAAGACCGAAGGAAGTGCAGGGGTGAGCTGTGTTCCATGTGGGGAGAATGTGCCAGGCAGGGGGACAGCAGATGCAAAGACCTAGAGGCGTGTAAGGGTGTGCGCGGGGAAGGGAGTAAACCACTGGGGCTGAGATGTGGTGAGAAGGGACTGTGATGGGGGCGGCATGGGGATGTTACCTTGGGCAGGTTGCTGGCCACTGCGCCTCAGTTTCCCCAGGTGTACAGTGGTGATGGTGCATCCTGCTGTGTTAGATTTGGACCTCAAGACAGGATAAGAGCCCAGCTCTGCCCCTTGCCATCTATGCCACCTCAGTCTAGTGCCTTCTGTTCTCCAAGCCTCAGTTTCCACCTCTATAACGTGAGAATAAAAACTGAAAGGGTCCCAGCTTCTAACAGATTGTGAGAATTCGTGAGATCAAGCATATGAAGCGCTGGCGTCTGGCACTAAGAAAGTGCTCAATAAATAGTAGCCACTATGTGTTTTTAATCATCATTTCCATCTATCTAGAGGAACCTGGGGCAGAGAGGTTAAATAACATGCCCAATGTCACACAGCGAGTGAGTGACAGCTGGCATTTGAGTCTAGATCTCACAGCTTTGAACCTCGGTATTACACTCAGCCCTCAAGTGAGACAATGGTGTTGGGGTCTCTGAGGGGACCCCACTCCAGTTCTGAACAAACTGAGAACAAAGACAAGGAAAAGGCTGTTGGAGGTCAAATTGTCATGTTTATCGTTGATAAAAGCCGGGTTGAGGAGGTCATGGCTTCTGTCTGCGCCGAAGATACTTCTGACACCAAACCTAGAAGGACATTTCCATCTGGTCACCGGCAGCACTGGAGCGGAGTGGGCTTCCCTGTGTGGGGCAATCAGGGGTCAGAGACAAGGGGGCACTCAGCTCCTAATAGGGAAGGTTGGGCTGATCTGAGCATGCCCAGTTTATTCTCTCTAGACTCACCAAGCGAATGAGTCCCACATCTCCCCTGGGGCAGAGCAAGTGAGGGACAGACAGAGGCTCCATTCTCAGGGAAGAAAGCATCCGAGTAGAGACGGGACCCTCTCCCCTAACAGACGAGTGACGGAACAGGCGAGCGCGTGCGTGCCTGACGCCCTGATCTGGGGCGGGGAGAGGGCAGGGCTGTCCCTCTGTGTGTCCCCCAACCCCCTCACCCTCCTCTTGTCCACAGTTGCAGGGGCTCTCATTGCTGACTTCTTGTCTGGCCTGGTGCACTGGGGAGCCGACACCTGGGGCTCCGTGGAGCTGCCCATCGTGGGGAAGGTGCGTATGTTGACCCAGCCCCGCCTGTCTCCTCCTGAAGGAGGCTGGGCCCTCTGACCTTGGTGAGTCCCCTTTCCTCTCTGAGCCTCTGTTTCCCCATCTGAAAGATGGGAACCATCCTTCCTGCCTGACCCCGTGCCCCTCCTCCAAGACTAGATCAGGAATTCCCCTGGGATGTTCTGGAAGCAAGGGCATCAGGCACAGGTCAGAGCTCCGAGATGTGTTGGCCCCACCAGAACCCCTTGAATGTGGGGCCACCTCTTGTTCTCCGTTGCCTGCCCTGCTGCGCCTTGCTGCTTGTCTATTGGTTTGTTTGTCTTAATTGAACCTTCTCTTGTATCAGTCAGACTTTTTGGTTGTTTGTGATAGAAAATCCATTACAAACTGGCTTAATCAAACAAAGGTGCTAATTTACATACTGAAAATTTCAGTAGAGCCAAATTAAGGCGTGGCCGGGTCCAGTAGGACAGCCAGACCATTTCTTCAGACTCAGTGTCTCTCCACGTTGGCCTCTGCTTCTCTCTGTCGGCTTCACTTCCCCTGGTGAGGTGGCCACGATGGCCCCCAGCTGCCTGGACTTCATCCTCCCAGCTCAGCCCCCAGTGGAACGAGAACGGCCCCCTTCCCAGAGTTACAGCCAGTCCCATGGCTCGCTCCCATTGGCCCAGTTTGGGTCACATGCCCACCCCTCAGCCAGTCGCTGTGGCCAGAGGGCTGGGATGCTCTGATTGGCCAGGCCAGGCTCACATGTCACTCTTAACTAGGGGGTGGTGGGGTCAGCCCCATCGGAGCAGCTTGTACTAAGAGAAGTGGGGAGCTGTTACCAGAAGGAGGGGCTTGGATGCTAGGAAGAAATAGTGTCTTGCCTGCCACTGTGAGGGTGGGGAAGAAGGGCGGAGACTGTCTCCAAGCCCACTCACAGCCCAGGTGGGGAGACGGAGGCCCAAAGCAGGGCAGTCGCAGGCCGAGGTCCCCACCAGGTCATTTTGACCCGTCTTCTGCTAGAGCTGCTAGACCTAGACCCTGAGGCTGGGTGGGATCGGTATCAGTGGCCTGGTAGAAAGTTCCCACATCCCAGAGGCAGGGAGCTGTGCCCGAGTCAAGTGTGTACAGGAGGTTGTGGAGACTGGCAGACCACTGTAGGCTGACTGGCTGGATGTCTCCCCACCCCCGCCCAGGCCTTCATCCGCCCGTTCCGGGAGCATCACATCGACCCGACAGCCATCACGCGGCACGACTTCATCGAGACCAACGGGGACAACTGCCTGCTGACACTGCTGCCCCTGCTGAACATGGCCTACAAGTTCCGCACCCAGAGCCTCGGTGAGCATGCCGGCTGGTGGCGGGCTCCAGGGGCCATCAGGGACAGACACGCACACCCCCTCCTCGGGCCTCCTGGGGCTTGTGTGTGTGTGTGTATTTGGCCCCTCGCAGTGTTATAAAAAAATTTTAGTTAGTGCCTTCGTATAAAATTGGGATATTTGACATAAAGATCTGTGTTTCCAGCTTCCCCTCAACAATCTGATCTGGCCACCCTGGGTCCTCGTTCCCACTTGGCTTCACTGGGCTGGAGCTGAGCTGCAGCCACCTTCTTTAGATAGGACACATGCTCTCCTATTTGCCACAGTCCCCACTACTCCCAGCTGTCCTACACCTGGCCCATCTTGCTCATTTGCATTACCTGCCTAGCCCTCAGGGCTTCTGGGTTTGCTGCCCTGGCTTAGTGGAAAGAGGGCTGTGAACTCAGACAATCCTGAGTTCAGATCTCTGCTCTGCCTATTTGGGGGAGGGAATTTGTCACATAGCAAGTCACTTCACCTCTCTGAGCCTCAGTTACCTCATCTGTTCCGTGGTAGGAAGGTGGGGGGATGAGTCCTTCCTCGGTGCCAAGTCTTATTCTAACAACTCGACACCCCCAGTGGATATGATGAGTGTCTGTGGTGTGGTGGTGCTCCAGTGCCCTGCCCACATCCTCTTCTCCTGTACCCATCCCCCGGCTCCCGTGAGGGGTGGCTGCTGCCAGCTCCCAGCTGCCCCTTCTGAGAATGGCCAGGGCCGGTCGCCTCTCCGCTTGGGATAAGCCGTAAGCCAGTAACAGAAAAAGCCTGCAGACCAGCCCCCTTGCCCTGCGTGGGAGCAACTCTGTGGAGCCGTTAACGATCAGGCTGAGACAAGACTCTCCCCCACGTCTTTGCTGAGCTCCTCCCCACCCTGTCCTGCTTGCCTCACTCCCTGTGCTCTCCCAGGAGAGAGGATCCCCCACCCGGATAAGTCACATGCACATGAACCCTTGTCTCAGGCTCTGCTTCTACGGGACCTGGACAAAGACTTATTCCCATTTTATTGATGAGGAAATTAAGACTCAAAGAGGCAAAGTCCCTGACCCAGGCACAGACAGCCAAGAGATGTCCGAGCAGGGCTGTGAACCCAGCTCTGCCTGACTCCACCATTACTTATGCCTGTTCCCTTAGCTGCCGGCTGAGCAGAAGAGGAGACTGAGGCCCAGAGGGGAGTCTGAGCTTGCCTGAGGCCGTGTGTTAGGTTGGAGGGAGGCCTGGGTGCTGTCCTGGGATGGGAGGGCCTGGGCCGAGTGGTGAGGGCCAGGCTGGCGGTGGCCCTGCAGTGTGACGGCTGCGTGGGCCCTATGGGCACCCACCCTCTCCCCACCCTGCAGAAGCCCTGGGGCAGCTGTACCCCTGGGAGTGCTTCGTCTTCTGCCTCGTCATCTTCGGCACCTTCACCAACCAGATCCACAAGTGGTCACACACGTACTTTGGGCTGCCACGCTGGGTCATCTTCCTGCAGGACTGGCACGTCATCCTGCCACGTAAACACCATCGCATCCACCATGTCTCACCGCACGAGACCTACTTCTGCATCACTACAGGTGCGCCTCTAGGGTGGCATGGAATGGGGCACCCCTGCTCCGGCTGCAGCTCCAACCTCAGGGTCAGGAGGGCAGAGGTCACAGTGAGAGATCATGCAGTCCTTGCCCTGCCAGAACGTTCTCTCAGAACACACATTTATCGAGCACCTACAATGTGCCAGGCACTCTTCTAGCTGCTGAGGACACAGCAATACACAAGACAGACACCCCACCACCACATGGACCATCCCATCCATCCAGCAGATATCTGTTGAGGACCTACTATGTGCCAAGCACTGCTCTGGGCTTAGGACACAGCACTGAACAAAACAGACCAAAATCCCTGTCTTTGTGGCATTCACATTCTAATAGGGGACATTCCAGACAATAAAGAAATAAGTACTGTATCTGATGCTGCTAACTGCTGTGGAGGAAAATAAAGCAGGGGGTAGGAGAGGGAACTGGGGGCTTCACCCTTTAACTAAGGTGGTCAGGGAGGACCTCACTGAGCAGGTGACATTCGAACTGAGAGAGAAAGTCATGCAGATCTGGAGGAAGAGCCCTCCAGGCAGCAGGAAGGCCCGGTGGCAGGAACGCGCATGCCTGGTTTGTCTGAGGAGCAGCAAGGAGGCTAGTCTGGCTGGAGTGGAGGGCATGAGGGGCAGAGTGACAGGAGAGATGACAGAGGCTGGCTGTGAGAGATGCCGTAGGGGAGACAAAGCAGGGGAAGGGGCAGAGAGTCATGGGGGGAGGAGTAGCTGTTCACATAAGGAGGTCAGAAATCTGAAAAAAGTGTGGGAGGGGCCCTGCAGATAATAGGGACAGATCAGTCCAGGCAAAGGGAACAGCAAGTACAAAGGCCCTGAGGCAGGAACATGTAAGGAGGCCCACATGCCATTAGGAGGTAATGGGCCGGTGCCAAAGAGGTGAGGTGAGGCAGCAGGTTTTCCAGGGCCAGCTGGGTGCCTTTCAAGGTTAAGTATATCAGGTGCTGGCAAGTCAGGCCAACCTGGGTTCAACTGTCAGCTCCTCCACGTGTCCTTAGGAGACGCACAGCCTCCCTGGAGATCGTTTTTCTCATCCACAAAATGGGGCTGCAGCCGCCTCCTTCACATACCACCTTCCCAGGGCTGGGGTGTAGATGGCAGCACGGCAGATGCAAAGGGCTTGGCACGTAATAGGTCCTCGATAAACTACAGCTACTGGTTTTTTGGTTTTTGTTTTGTTTTGTTTTGCTCTTCTGGAGGCAGAACTGAGAGCCACAAAAAATATTTTTTGCACGTCCTAAAGTCACGCTCTGAGGGCAATGGAGAGGTTAGAGTTCAGGTTGTTTTGGAGATCAGCTGACTGCTCAGCCAGGCCTGGGATCGGACTTCCCCCAGGCCTCAGGCTTCTCATGTGGAAAATGGGACTAATAACAGTATCTACCTCATGGTTCGGTGGGCAGCTGTAAAAATACAGGTTAAATAGGACAGACAGCAGTATTTATTGAGCACCTGCTACGTGCCAGGCACCATTCTAGGCCCTGGGATCAAAGGTGAAAGAACGTGGGGTTCTGCTGTTACGAGCTAACATTCTAGTTGGGGGTTGGGGAGAAAACCAACACAAAAGAGAATGGTTACAGGTTATCATAAAGGCTGTAAAGAAATAAAAGAGGGCCGGCCCCGTGGCATAGCAGTTAAGTGCGTGCACTCCACTGCTGGGGGCCCGGGTTCAGATCCCGGGCGCGCACCAACGCACCACTTGTCAGGCCATGCTGTGGCAGCATCCCACATAAATTGGAGGAAGATGGGCATGGATGTTAGCTCAGGGCCAGTCTTCCCCGGCAAAAAAAAAGAGGAGGATTGGCATGGATGTTAGCTCAGGGCTGATCTTCCTCACCAAAAAAAAAAAAAAAGGAAGAAATAAAAGAGGGTGATGTGACAGGCCTGGAGTGCTACTTAAGTGGTGGTCAGGGAAGGCTGCCTGGAAGAGGTGGCATTTGAGCCAAGTGATAAGAAACGCTGCCATCGTGCCTGGCAGGTAGTAAGCGCTCAGTAAGAAAGTGAATGAGTGAGGGGATGAAGGCATGTCTGAGCAGCCCCTGAGCCCACTGGTGGGAGGCCCCCATCCCCAGATGCCTTGGTCAGTCTTTGTCCCCTGCCCTCTGCAGACTCAGCCCCAGTTGCTCCTGCCCCAGGCAGGGCCGGCTCTCTCTCTGTGTCCCCTCGACTGCTGCTCTCTCATTCACCCCATAACCCCCGCGCCATTTCCACTGCAGGCTGGCTCAACTACCCTCTGGAGAAGATGGGCTTCTGGCGACGCTTGGAGGACCTCATCCAGGGCCTGACGGGCGAGAAGCCGCGGGCAGATGACATGAAATGGGCCCAGAAGATCAAATAACTCCTCTGAGCCTGCCTCCTTGCCAACCTTCCCCAGCCCCCCAAACCGAAGCCATCTGCCAAATTCCAGCCCCCTCACGCTGGCCCCTCCAGGTGGGAGGACGCCTCCTGGGCTGGGCCCGGGCACCCCCAGCCTGCCCCTAGTGACAGAGAATACTTGAGCCACTGGTTTTTCATTTCCTCTTTTTCATTTTCTTTCCTTGGCCCCTCCCAGCCACCTGAGCTGCTCTGTCTGCCAAACCTGACTCTGCAGAAAAAGGACCCCCGCCCTGCCAGCCTTCCCTTGGGTAGGGGGGCAGCTCAGCTGCTCCCTGCACTCCTACGGCCCCCTGCCCCGCTGGGCAGCCTGACAGCGTGGCTGGCATTGGGGCCACTGAGTCGCCTTATCTGTCCCTCCTTGTCTGCCCCCAGTGGTCTAGGAGCCCCAGGCACACCTGAGTGTCCCTGGAGCACTGCCCTGCCATGACCCTGCAAATTGACCCTGAAGGCCTGGGAGGGTGGACAGCCCTAGCCTGTCCACCCAAAGATCGCAAAGCGCAGCAAGGGTCTGAGGGCAGCCGGCCAGAAGAGGCCAGAATTTCCTGCCCAAGTCTGGAGCCCCCCTCCTCCGCCCCTCCCCCACCTGTCAGAGCTGATGTTTCTAATCAGGAGGGTGTCTTCGCAGGGTGCAGCCCCTGCAGAGTCTTGGTCATTTGGAAGGGGACACAGTCTCCCCTCTGGCCAGGGGTATGTCAGAGAAGGAAGAGTGGGGCTTTTTTGTCTCGGTTTTTTTTTTTTTAAAGGTGCTTGCTTGTTTAATGTAAATAATAGAAAGCCTTAATATCTTTTCTGTAACACGGAGTAATATTTTAATGTCAGGTTTTGGATGTACATAATATATTTATAACAAAGCAGCAAGAGTCTACTTAACCTCAGCTGCCTCGTGTTTCCTGATTGTCTGGGGGAGGGGGGTGAGGAGCCTGGAGGGTGAGGCCCCACCCTACCCCATGCCCAGCTCCCCCTGCCCCCCCGGGCTCAGGATGGGGGCTTTGTCACCCGAGACAGTGAATTAATCTTGGCATCTGCTCCAGACACTTTTGGAGGAGACCCACGATTGGATGAGGAATGATCTTCATGCAGCAGATCATGATGACAGAGTAATGACGGCTGATCCCTGTTTGTGATCCTTCAGCAAATGGTTATTGGCACCTGGTGTGTACCAGGCTGTGGCCTGGACATGGGCACAGCAGTGAACAAACAGACAAGGACTTACCCTGGTGGAGTTGACCTCCTGGGGAGAGAGACAATAAACAAAAATAAATGCACATGGACATTCAGATGGTGATTTGTAAAGAAAATCAAACAGCATGGAACCACACTGGAAAAGTGGGGCCACTTTGGCAGGGTGGTCATCAGGGAGGGCCTCTCTGACGAGGTGACAATCAAGCTGAGACCTGGAGGAGGAGATGGAGCTAGTTGGGGAAGGAACTGGGGGAAGAGGCCTCCTGACTGGACAGCAAGTGCAAAGGCCCTGAGGCAGGAACAAGCTTGGGGTTTTTAAGAGACAGTGTGGCTGGACTAGAGTGAGCAAGGGGAAAGTGGAAGATGAGGCTGGAAAAATAGGGACTTGTTATATGTAGCCTCACAGGCTGAGGTGAGTGGAGAGACACTGGACATTTTAGACAAATGAGCATCTTGTTCATTTATTCATTGAACAAATAATTATAAGGCACTTCCCAGTGTCAGGCACTGGGATTCAGTACTGAACACTACAGACTTTGCAGTCAATATCTAGTCTGGGCTAGATAGTTTCCACAGTATTAGCCATGAAAAGGAAAGAAAAAGCCTGTTGGGGACAGAGAAATAGTAAAAGACTCTTTAGAGTAGTCACAGATACAGCATTTTTTAAAAATGTGACCCATAACCTCATTTTCCTTATAGTCTGCCTACTACTAGACTAGATTTGTAACTGAGGGGACCACAAAAGGAAGGAGTATTAGAATTCATCAACTCCTAAGTGACAGGAAACTATAACTTGAGCAAAAATTAATAGCTATGGGCCGGCCCCGTGGCTTAGCAGTTAAGTGTGCACGCTCTGCTGCTGGCGGCCCGGGTTCGGATCCCGGGCGAGCACCAACACACCGCTTCTCCGGCCATGCTGAGGCCGCGTCCCACATACAGCAACTAGAAGGATGTGCAACTACGACATACAACTATCTACTGGGGCTTTGGGGGAAAAATAAATAAATAAAATCTTTAAAAAAAAAAATAGCTAAAATAATTTTATTAGCTCATATAACTGCCAAGTTCAGAGGTGGTTCTGACTTAAGGTTTTGCAGGACCCAGGGGCTCACGTGATTCATCAGAACTTTGTCTCTTTGTCTAGCTCTGTTTTTCTGAGTGGAGACTTGACATTGGACCAGCTCAGCAATCTTAGTGGGAAAAAATCTCCCTCCCCAATAGTTGCAGCAAAAGCCCCAGGGCAGGCTCTCATTTGTTGGATTGGGTCATGTGCCCACCCCCGAACCAATCACCTTGGGGGGAGGGGGCGGGGTGGTGGTGAAGTGTTCTGATTGGCCAGGGCTGAAACATGTCCGCCTGGAGAGGCAGGGGTGGGATCAACACTTCCCAGGCCACAAGATGAGAGGAAGGAGGAATGGTTCCCAAAAGAAAAATGAACGTGTTATCAAAAGAAGTCTACAGTGGATGGGGCAGATAGCCAAACTCTTCCAAGGAGCCAGACAAGCAGCCTTGCGGCTGCAGGGGTTGGTTCCTGTTTCCAGGTTCTACCAACCTGTGTCAGTTCCCTGGGAGCCAGCAAAAAACAGCCTGAGTCCAGAGAGGTGACATGACTTGCCCAAGATCCCACAGCTAGTAAGGAAGAGCCAGGCCTCACACTCAGACCTTCTCACTGCTCCTGAATCCCAGGGGCTGGAAAAGTACTTTTCAAAACCAGAAGGAGGTATGTTTTTCGTCAGGTCTGGGAGTTTTGGGGTCATTTGTGAGATGGAGGTGTTGCAAACAAGTGCTGAGGAGGGCCGGGCAGGGGGAAATGCTGCCTAATACCTACTGAACGCTTACCTCGTGCCCGACTGCGGAGAGCTCCCTGCAGCTCTGAGAAGTGAATACACTTGGCCCCATTTGCGGATGGGGAAACTGAGGCACAGAGGTCCTGTAACCCGCCCAAGGGCACACAATTGGTAGGTGGCAGGGCTGGAATCTGAGCCCTGATCTGACCCAGAGCCCACGCACTTGCACACCCGCCCGCCTGCAGCCCCGCTGGAGGGAGCTGAGGAGGCGGGCGGTGAGGGAGAGATGCGTCCCCTATGAGAACACAGCAACACAGCAGGAAGAGGAGCAGCTGACGCCCGAGGACCAGGATGCCCTGGAGACATCGGCCCCAAACGGCAGCTGCTACTCACATCAGCCCATTAAAGAGGAGCCAGAAATCCAGATTTTTAAAATGTTAGCTCCGTTTTTTAAACATACTGTGAGCAAAATAAAACAGGTGTATGGGCCGACTTCTGCCCACGACTCCCCAGCTGGTGCAGGGACGGCCCGGTTTTAGGTGGATGTGTGCTGCTATCTGGTGGTGGAGCGGGGCAGGTGGCAGTGCAAGGCAAGGAGACGGATTTCCAGCCCGACTGGGAAGGTCATGCATGCCCCTCTGTGCTGTCTTCTCCTGAGACAGGGTCTGGGCAGGGTGCCTGCCCCCAGCTCTAACCCCACGCCCTTCTGATGAATCTAAAAATTTCAAGCTACCCTTTTAAACACTATTTTGTAATGGGTAATGCATGCATAAAGCAAAGAATAAGAACCAAACAATAGAAAAGCGTTTAGAGCAGAGGTCAGCTGTCCACGGCCAGTGGGCCAAATCCGGGCCAAATGTGTTTCTATGGCCCCAGGAGCACTGTTTTTTAATGGCTGGGGGAAAAAAAATATTTCCTAACACATGAAATTCAAATTTCAGTGTCCGTCATAAAGTTTTTTTGGCACACAGCCACACCCATTATTTGCATCTTGTCTACGGCTGCTTTTTCAATACAGCAGCAGAGTCAAGAGACCAGTGGCCTAAAGCCTAAAATATTTACTATCTGGCCCCTTACAGAAAAAAACTTACCAACTCTTGGTGAAAAGTGAAAAGTAAATTGCTCCCCACTCATGTTACCCCAAGCCCTCAGTTCTCCTTCCCAGAGGCCATCATTTTGACAAGACCCTTGCATGTCCCTTATGAGGGCATAGAGGCCTGTTTGTCCCTTTTCTTTTTTTTTTTTTTTTTTGAGAGGAAGATTCACCCTGAGGTAACATCTGTGCCAGTCTTCCTCTGTTTTATATATGGGATGCCGCCACAGCATGGCTGACAAGTGGTGTAGGTCTGCACCTGGGATCCGAACCTGCAAACCCCAGGCCGCCGAAGCAGAGCGTGCCAAACTTAACCACTAGGCCACAGGGCCGGCCCTGTCCCCTCTTTTCATACAATAGCTGGAGTATACAAACACAGCTGTACACCTTGCCTTTTTTCACTTAATATATTTGGAGACAGTGTTATCTCAATGCTTCCTTATTCTTTTTTACAGCTGTGTAGCATTCCAGCTTCAGGATGGCCCCTCATTTTTAACTCGGCTCTCACTGGATGTTGAGGTCGCTTCCAGTCTTGGGTAATACAAACTGATGTCACGTGCATCGGGGAACTTAAGTCCTTGCTCACTGGGGCCAGCAGACCTGAGGGGTCAATTCCTGGGAATCGAGTTGCTGGGTCAAGGGTGTGTGTGTGGTACATTTTGATAGCTCAGGCCAAACTGCCTTCCCCGGAGGCTGGGCCCATTTAAACTCGCACAGCTTTTGAAAGTACCTGTTTCCCCACAACCCTGCCAACCCGGCGTGTTATCGAGTGTTTTGTTCTTTGCCCATCTGATAGGTGGTTTTAATTTGCATTTCTCTTACTGTATTTCATTGAATCTAAGATGTCATTGATTGTAAGAGCATCCTGATTTCAGAGATGTTTGAATATAAAAATTTGCATCTTAGAATCATTGAAATACAATCTGTTGAGTGAGATTGGCTATCTTACCCCATTTCCTACCACAATTCCTTACTCTGTGCATGTCCTTGTCCTATTTTTTGGGGGGAGGCAGGGTAGTAGTGTTAGGAACTTGAGATTCAAATCCCAGCTCTGCCACTTACAAGCTTGTGACTTTGAGCAGGTTCTTAACCTTTTTGTAACTCAGTTTCCTCATCTGTAAGATGTATAATAATGGTAACTATCTCATAGGGTAGTTGTGAAGATTAAAGGAATTAATATATGCAAAACACCATGTTTCTGGAACATACTAAATACTCCATAAATGTCTGCTATGATTATCATCTTTCTTTTGGATTATCTTTTTTTTTTAATGAATTGCAAGCGCTCTTTATAAATTAAGGAAACTCATCCTTTTGATCCTCCCACCCCCACCCCAGATCCCTGGTGTTTATTCTTTTCTCTCTGACCGCAAATGTAACAGATGATACAAAATTCAGACATTATGGAAATAAATTGTATAGGAAGAAGCCAATGGAAACAACCCAGGTGTCCATCAAGAGAGGAGTAGGTGAGCCGTACCATGACCCCCTGCCCACCCATTCCCATCCCTCTTTGGTTATATATTTTAGCAACTACATCAAATATTAAATAAAATATCTTAATGCAATGCTTCAGACACACCCCATGGGGACATAAGTCCATGTATGTGCCATGAAACACCACTAGCAAATGTGTCACACACCCCGTCAAACAGAGACCCCTCCCCAGAGATTCTACTCTCTGTCTTCTGGGCACACCTGACTCTTCCTGTCAACAGTTTGTCAGCTTTACTTCTGTAGTTTGTATTATAAAAGCTATAGCATGAGGTTGGGGTTTTTCCTAACCATAAAT